TAAAGGATACATGTGCCCAATGCCTCATATGTTGGCAACTAAAAACAAATTTTTTTATCATTATGAAACAATGTTGCGATGAAATGTTGCCAAGCAAATCAAAGGAGGTAACCTACTGTCAGACCCACTAGGTTCAAATCTTAGCTCCACCAATTATTTAGATAAGACCATAAATCACATAATCTCTCTCTGTTTCTTCATCTGTAAGGAGAGAACAAAAACAGTATTTATCTATCTACCTATTTGAATAATGTATTACAATAGGCCTTCACAAAGTAAAAGATCAATCGGTTATTAGCTCATTATAAAAAAAATCTTGTAGGGCTGCTTGTATAAAACATTTTATACCTACATATTTCTTCTGTATAAACTTTCAGAAGTGGAATTAAGGATACATATTTTAATTAATACTGCCAATTTGCTTCCAATAAATTATAGCAACATGCCATTTCAACAATAGTATAAAATATTTCTTCATACTCATTTTTAAATCTCTGTATATTTAATTGGGGAAATTATCTTATGCTTATTTTAATATGCATTTCTTTCACTATTAGTGATATGAATCATCTTTACATATTTGCATATAAGCAGTATTCCTTACATAAACTACTGATTCCTATAATTATCCATTGTTCTGGCAGATTAGCCACCTTACTTATTTATTAAAATCATATGTATATGTGCTGAGAATATAATCCTTATGATACATAATACTGATATGCTTAAATTGTATAAAATATACAATTCTATAATACATGTTCCAAATATTTGGTGCATACACACATACACATACACCAAAAAGCAGGAATGACTAAGTTCATATTTACTTTTTATTAACTAGAGTTTTTTTAAATTTTATTTTTATTATAAATTTTATTATTTTAAATTTATTATTATAAATTTTATTATTATATTATAATAAATATAAATTCCATAGGTACAGCTTTTGGAATATAGCAGTTCTTCCCCCAATACTCGCCTTCCCACTTCCACTCCCGACTCACTTCCTACTCCCACTCCTGTCACATTCTTCAATAAGATTCATTTTTAATTATCTTTATATATAGGAGACGAACTCAGCCGGCGCTGCGGCTCACTTGGCTAATCCTCCGCCTGAGGCACCAGCACCCCGGTTTCTAGTCCTGGTTGGGGCGCCAGATTCTGTCCCGGTTGCTCCTCTTCCAGGCCAGCTCTCTGTTGTGGCCCAGGAAGGTATTGGAGGATGGCCCAAGTTCTTGGGTCCCTGCACCCGCATGGGAGACCAGGAGGAAGCACCTGGCTCCTGGCTCTGGATTGGCACAGCGCACTGGCCATAGCAGCCATTTGGGGAATGAACCAACGGAAGGAAGACCTTTCTCTCTGTCTTTCTCTCTCTCTGTCATTGTCTAACTCTGCCTGTCCAGAAAAAAAAAAAAAAAAGAACAACAACAACTCTATACTAAGTAAAGATTTCAACAGTTTGCACCCACACGGATACACAAAGTATAAAATACTGTTTGAAGACAAGTTTTACCATTAACTCTTATAGTACAACTCATTAAGGACAGAGGTCCTACATGGGGAGTAAGTGCACAGTGACTCCTGTTGTTGATTTAACAACTGACACTCTTATTTATGACGTCAGTGATCAGCCGAGGCTCTTGCCATGAGCTGCCAAGGCTATGGAAGCCTCTTGAGTTCACCAACTCTGACCTTATTTAGACAAGGTCATAATCAAAGTAGAAATTCTCTCCTCCCTTCAGAAAAAGTACATCCTTCTTTGACGGCCCCTTCTTTCCACTGGGATCTCACTCACAGAGATCCTTCATTAGTTCATGTTTATTGAGTGACTTCTCCAAATTACATAAAAATTAATATAATTTAACATCAATGCATATTATTATGCCTTTTTTTTCTTTTTAATGGCTGTACAGTACAGATTGAACATCTCTAATCTGAAAATCCTAAATCTAAAATGCTCCAAAATTTAAAGCATTTTGATTCTTTTTAATTTGGGTTTGTTTGCATTTTGGATTTCATGTTTTTAGATAAGGAATGTTCCACCAGTAAAGTCTATTAAAATATTCTAAAACCCAAAAATCTCCAATGTCTAAAACATGTCCTGTCCCAAACATTTTGCAAGAGGGATATTCAACCTATACTACAAAGTTAAGTAATAAGAAAACTTCCAATTTCACTAAAAAGTGATAGAACCAGTACTCAAACCCATTTTGTCTGATTTCTAAGGCTAATATTTTAATTTCTTCTATTATAAAAACTATTTTTTTTATCAGAAAGATGGTGAGAAAGAGAGACAGAGAGGAAGGTCTTCCTTCCGTTGGTTCACCCCCCAAATGGCCACCACAGCCGAATCTACACCGATCTGAAGCCAGGAGCCAGGTGCTTCCTCCTAGTCTCCCATGCGGGTGCAGGGCCCAAGCACCTGGACCATCCTCCACTGCCTTCCCGGGCCACAGCAGAGAGCTGGACTGGAAGAGGAGCAACCGGGACCAGAACTCGGTGCCCATATGGGATGCCAGCGCCGCAGATGGAGGAGTAACCAAGTGAGCCATGGCACTGGCCCTAAAAACTATTTTTTAAAAACAAGACATTTGAAAGTAGGAGCCACTATCCCACTAGGTGTATACCACCCATGTACTATTTTTTTTTTTTAAGATTTTATTTATTTATTTGAGAGGCAGAGTTACAGACAGTGAGAGTGAGAGGAGACAGAAAGAGAGGTCTTCCATCTGCTGGTTCACCCCCAAAATGGCCACAACAGCAAGAGCTGGGCCGATCTGAAGCCAGGAGCCTCTTCTGGGTATCCCACGTGGATGCAAGGTCCCAAGCACCTGGGCCATCTTCTACTGGTTTCCCAGGCCATAGCAGAGAACTGGATTGGAAGAGGAGTAGCTGGGACTAGAACCAGCACCCATATGAGATACTGGTGCTTCATGCAGAAAATTAAGCTACTGTACCACAGTGCTGCCTTCTACCATGTACTATTAACCTGAAATTTACACTCTGTCAATCTCATCAGCTTACAGTATATACCTAACTTTCAAGTAGTGGAAGAAGAGACAAGATGACAAAAAGATCTTCCACTAAAGTGATATTTCCTATATGCCTCTGAGAATCTTAACACCATAAGCAATTTTAACTGGCTTCAATATCTAATGTCCCAACCCACAGCATGACTGAAGTGCAAAAGTAGGAGAAATGAAAAAGTAAAACAATAAAAAAGAGGAAGCACAAAGTTATAAACAACAACCTGAAACAGGAAAAAGATTTAGTAACTTAAAAAGATATTGCTGCATAGTCCCCAATGATTGTGGATAATAATAGGATAGATGTCATCATGAGAAGATTAAATTATGATGGGAATATATCAAAAGAAAACATAAGTCAGCTGCATGGCCAAATTAGAAAATGGGAGGATCAACATAAATAATGACTGTAAGCCACTGTATAAAATTAGAAATCCTAAGACTATATAATGAAGGGCTGGCACTGTGGCTCAGTGGGTTAAAGCCCTGGCCTGAAGCACTGGCATCCCATATGGGCTTCTCCTCTTCCAATCCAGCTCTCTGCTATGGCCTGGGAAAGCAGTAGAAGATGGCTCAAGTCCTTGGGCCTCTGCATCCATGTGGGAGACCCGGAAGAAGCTCCTGGCTCCTGGCTTTGGATTGGCGCAGCTCTGGCTGTTGTGGCCATCTGGGGAGTGAACCAGCGGATGGAAGACCTCTCTTTTTCTCTCTACCTCTCTCTGTAACTCTGTCTTTCAAATAAATAAAACAAACCTTAAAAAAATAAAAGGACAATATAATGAATGATTTAAAAAGATATGAGAAGGATGGTAGAATCTTGTAATATTTCCTCATAAGGAGTACTATCACAGGAGAGAAACCTAGAAAATACCTTCATGCCACCTGACAGGGTACAACTAGAAGAAACAGTATCACTTCTGTGTCACTCCTGCGAAAAATGCATCAACCTAACTCTAATCCTCAAGAAATGTTAGAAATAACTAAACTGGAGATCATTTTAAAAATAACTGTGCTATCATCCTCTAAAGTGTTAAGATCAATAAATTAATTTCTTCCAGATTCAAAAAGGATAAAGAAGCACAACAAAATGCAACACACAATCCTGAACTGAATCTTTGCACAATAAGAAAAATCAGTGAGGTAATTAATAAAAACTGTAAGGTTTTTGAAGATTAAAAGGTAGTATTATACCATGTCAATTCATTATTTCAATGAATATATTATAGCTTAATAGAAAATATAAGGTATTAAAGTAGTATTATATAAGAAATTCTTTATTCCAATAAATGTATTATATTTATATATACCATATACAAGAAAGTATTCAAAGGTGATAGAATTCAAATGGCTCAAAAAAAGTTCTAAACTAGAGTTTGTGTCAAAACTTTTCAAAAAAAGCTTTCCCATAAATATTTATTTTTGAAACACTATGTCTAATAATTCTAATATATTTATTTTAAGTAGAATTTTAGTAAAATTCACAGTATTTAAAGACAATGTTGAGGCAAAGGAGCTAAAGGTTTCCTAGGGCAGCAGAATCAACAAAATCATGAATCTAGTCAGTTTTCCCCAGCTGTCAGTGCTCTGAACACCTCAGTGAATTCCCAAGTCTGTTGGAATCCACAGATTCCCATTTTTGCCACAAAGGCTGGCATAGTACTGGCAGCAAGGGGCAGAAGGAAAATCACCTGAAAGTACAGGCAAGTCTTCAGTTGTAACAGCAACAACAACAAATAACTCAGCACACAAACTGCCAACGTAATAATAAAATTATTTTTAAAACTCATCCTATTGGTATAATAATAAATAGAAACTAAGAAACAAAAATAACAATTTTTATAAGCTAGATCAAAGTCTTCTTTCCTAATATTGAAGCATCAAGATCTAGCAGAGTTAAACTGAATTCCTGTTTATACTTTATCTTTAAAATTTGTAAGTAGAAGCACATGAAGACAAGATTAAACTCAGTACCTGTCAAAAGATCTGAACTGTACAGACTGTTCAACAGATAGGTGATCACCAAGAGCTCCCAGACAGGCTGGTGGCAGAAGGGCAGGATCCACTGTGACTCCATCTGCTGGGATGTTTACCAAGCTTCGGAGAATGTCTTTCACATTGACATTTTTTGAAACTGGAACTGGTAGTGTAGCCTTGTTATCCAACTCATTTCCTCCATCATTTCTGGTTTCCTGAGATTTATTGACTTCTAAAGAAAGAGTGCATAACACCTCACTGATTGCATCTGGGCCTGCACTGACACTCGGAGGTGCTGCTTGAGGAGTTACATCCACATTGCTTCCTAAACCAGTAGAGGCTTCTTCTCCAATGCCTGAATCCCTCCTTCGAGCAGATGATGTACTTTCAGATTCTTCTACTGAGGCTGGAGTTGAAGGGCTGAATGATGCTGGTGTGTTTTCCACATCTTGCACAGAAAGAGAAGAAAAGAAAAATAAAAATTTTCAGAACTAATTTAAAATGGTATATTTAGCCATAACAGCCAACTAGTACTTTAAATTATTATAATCAAAATAAAGTATAAAAATATGGATTAAAAATATTGGCTATAAAAACTCTCCAAACTGATCATGACAGACCAATGTGTAGCAACACAAAGTTGAAAGCCACTCACTTATAAGAAAGAGTCCAAAATCCTTAGAATAAAAGAAAAACCTCTAACACAAACATGGTTTCCACTGCTGAAAAACTTACTATCTTCTATATGGATAATAAAAGTCAATGATCCCTAAAACCCAGTTCAACAAAGTTCATCCCTTTTCCTCTCTTTTAGTCCCTTCAATCAGGATTTCAAGGATTCCAAGAAAAATGTACTGATGGCAGCTGGCATTTGATGCAGAAATTAAGATGCCACTGGGGACACCCTTTATCACAGTGCTCAGCTCCAATTCCAGCCTCCTGCTAACGTGCATCCTGGAAGACAACAGTGATAGCTCAAATTCTTGGGTCCTAGTCCACCCACACAGGAGACCTGAATTGAGTTCCTGGATCCAGACTTTAGCCAGGCCCAGCCCCAGCTCTTGTGGGAGTGAACCAAAGGATAAGTTATCCCTGTGTGTATGTATATCTTTGCATGTTTTTCAAATGAGTCAGATAAATTTTGAATTCTCTTATCAAGGTCACCAAAAACCTTTATCTAAATCAGCACCTGCTGATTAGTCCCTCCCACTTAATGATGCTCTCTTCACTCAGCTTGCAGGAACCAGGTACTTTTCAGCTTTCCTTCTACTACCTAACTGGCTACTCCTTACGTCCTTTACTTTTTTGCTTCTCTAAATTTGTACGTTTTAATGCCTCAGCCCTCAGTTTTGCCTTATCTTCTCTACATACATTCATTCCCTTAGAGATCTCATTCACTCTCACAGCTTTAAATTACGCTATATTCTCCACCCCCTGCCAAAAACAAAAAAACCTCAGACTGTTATATACAACTGACTATACTACATCCTCACTTATATATTCAAAGACATTTTTTTTTTTTGACAGACAGAGTGGACAGTGAGAGAGTGAGAGAGTGAGAGAGAGAGAGAGAGAGAGAGAGAGAGAGAGAAAGTCTTCCTTTGCCGTTGGTTCACCCTCCAATGGCCTCCACGGCCAGTGTGCTGCGGCCGGCACACCGCGCTGATCCGAAGGCAGGAGCCAGGTGCTTCTCCTGGTCTCCCATAGGGTGCAGGGCCCAAGCACTTGGGCCATCCTCCACTGCACTCCCTGGCCATAGCGGAGAGCTGGCCTGGAAGAGGGGCAACTGGGACAGAATCCGGTGCCCCGACCGGAACTAGAACCCAGTGTGCCGGCGCCGCAAGGCGGAGGATTAGCCTAGTGAGCCGTGGTGCAGGCCTTCAAAGACATCTTAACATAACATGTTGAAACTGAATTTTTTATCTTTTTATCTTTCCCTGAAAATCTATTTCACTTTTAGTTACTGGACCTTGTAATCATTTGTGACTTCATTTTTATTTCACATAGCCCACATTTAATCTTTAAAATATTTAAAAATCCCATTCTTTTCTGCCACCAAAATATATCCATAATCTTGCTGCTTTTTGTCATCTCTAAAGCTACCACTCTAGTCCATCCCAATATCACCTCCTGCCTGAATGGCTGCAAGGTCCTCCTAACTGGTTGTAGAAGATAACTTACTTTAATGATCCTACTACTACCCCACGCCTCCTGCTATTCATCTCCTTGAAAAGTCCTTACAACTGGCAGAGGCTTGATTTACTTAAACCAAAAGAAGATGAAGAAAGTAGTAAGATCTTACAACTCTAGTTAGTGTTCCTAGAATCCCTGACCAACTCTTTATGAAATACAGCTGATTTCTGCTATCCTTGCTGGAGAGCACAGAGAGGCCCTCCAAACTCAAGGAAGAAAACAGGAATTCAACTGACAGCAAGTTTCAAGACCCCAGACACATAAACCCAGTTCAACTCTTTCAGTCAGCCAGCCCCAACTGGCAAACCAGCCCAGCTGAGGGACTAGAAGAATGAGAACAGGTGCCACTGGAGACTTCCTAACACCACCAAACGTCATCTGCAATAGGGATGCACCATCCCCACCATGCACTGCCCAAATCTAACTCACAGAATTATGAAAACAAGACTGATACAATTGTAGTTTGAAGCCAACAGGCTTGTTACATAGCAATACAAAGTCGAAACAGTAGCTTTTCCTCCAGGTTTAACACTGAATTTCACAGAATCCAGAATTTTAACTTTTAAAAACATAATCCAGTTGTGATTCCTATACTCAAACTCCCCAATGATTCCGAATTTTCCTTAGGAAAAAAATTCCTATCTATCCCTCCTCTTCATTCCTATCATTTTTACCCTGTTTAATTTTCTTTCTTCTCTCAGCACTTTTATTAGCCTCTAAAATACTGCAGAATATATTTGTTACATATACTTGTTTTCTATCCCTTCCCATTAAAACTATAAGCTCTGTGAGGGCAGAAATATTTTTCTGTTGTGTTCAGGAATACACTCAAGTACGTAATAGGCGCTGAATGAAGATCTACTGAAAAAATTAATTGCCCTCTCTGGTGACAGTCATGTCTTTCTTTTTTTAATTAATTTATTTATTTGAAAGGCAGAGTAACAGACAGAGGCAGAGAGAGATACAAAGAGAGATCTTCCATCTGCTGGTTCACTCCCCAAGGGCCGCAATGGGCAGAGCTGGGAGGATCTGAAGCCAGGAGCCAGGAGTTTCTTGCCAGTCTCCCACGTGGGTGCAGGAGCCCAAGGACTTAGGCCATCTTCCACTGCTTTCCCAGGCCATAGCAGGGAGCTGGATCAGAAATGGAGCAGCTGGGTCTCGAACCATCACCCATATGAGATGCCAGCACTGCAGGCGGCGGCTTTACCCGCTAAGCCACAGCACCGGCCCCAACATTAACTTCTACAACTATGATAGCTGCTTATCCAGCCACACTTCTATACATGGAAACAGTGTCACAACACCCAATCAATGCAGTTATGTGCTATTAAACTTGTTTCTTCCAAAAGAATATGAGTTGGTTCTTCTTCACAACAAATACTAGAATAAATTAAAAACTTTAACTCGTTGTTTGCAAAGAATTACATTTGCTCATTTATCTTTTAACTAGATGGTTCGTTTAAAGAAAAAAAATCATCTCCCAATTGCAATTTTATGAAACTTAAATAATTAGATAATAAAAATGTGTGCTCTCACTTAATACTTGAATGGATTTAAATTCCAGAATAAACATTCTAACCACAGTTAGTAACGTTTTACAAAAATTTTGGGTACCAGGGAATAAACATGAAAACTTACCAGGGAGTGATACAGTCTCATTTTCACTTCCAGTTTCTTTACATGACTGGCTACGCCTTTCATTTTGAGGTTCCAAAATGTCTCTGTACTTTGAGACCATCAGAACAGATATAAAATACACAACTGCCAAAGCTAAGAATTGGGCTTGTTTGCTATCCTCCTGGGAAAAAATAAAACGAGTTGATCATGCCACTCTTGAATAACATGTTTTAATTTTATTTAACACTATTATATTCAAATATAAAAGATGTTCAAAAATGTTTCAATATATACAGAATTTAATACATGATTGTTTATATAAGAATAAATGCATTACTTATAATAATCATTTATTTATCTTGATAATTTATAATTATCATAAATTTACCTGAGCAAAGATAAGGCAGACTCTTAGAAAAATGTATTTAAATGAGATTTTATAGTTGCAAAACATGGGAGGAGAGACACTGGCTGACTTTTTAAAAATTAAATAACTCAATCTGTCCCTGTAAACTTTAGAAGGATAATTATGTAGTAATTATATTAGAATAATTGATTATTTTACTTCTGATCATCAAAATAATAATTATGTTAAAAAACAAATTTCCAGGGCTTAAAAAAAAGAGTAAGGCTATCAGATACAGAACAGGATACCAAAGGATTTCAAGAGAATATTTTTAATAGCACTGACAACCAACTGTTGGGATGAAAAATACAGTTGAAGAACCTTAAAAATCAAACCAAGATGGAGTGACCTAAGCCAATACCATTAAAAACAAGAAGTTACCTTTGCGCCAAATAAAATTAAAGTTTAAAAATTACAGCCCTAAACTTTTTCCCCCAAAGCTAAAATTAGGTGCAGCTATAAAAATAAGGGACCCTATGCTTAGCTAGCTGCGACACTTGTGCCTGGCTGTGCTAAGATCTAACCCAGTTTGTATGCCTCCTAATACTCAAATAACGGTGTGGGAAGTGGGACGCCGCTCTCCCACCAGGGGAACAAAGGGAGCGAGACGTTGTCCCCCTCAGGGTGAACAAGATGGCGCTGGCAGGGAAAGGAACTACTAAAGAAGTAAACAACAAAATGGCGACGAGGTGCATGCCTCCCATGTGATCCCGTAGCTGATTGCATAGAAGACGCATGCCCTTCACATGATCAGCTCACGGATTGGACTGCTGTGTGCATGGACTCTATAGTGCTTTTGATTGGTTGCTGCGGTATATAAACCGTGTGGCTCTGTGCTGGGGGCGCTCTCTGGACTCCCGAGTTCAGGAGGCCCGTCTGTGCAGACGCTGAATAAATCCTCTTGCTTTTGCATCAGCTGGTCTGGACTCTGAGTCTTTGGGGTGTGCCTCTCGACGTGTTAGCATCCTCACTCCGAGGGTCTAACACAGTGTCTTCCAGAAAAAAAGGAGAAACAAGTCTGACTTCTGCAAGAGGCTTGGCTCCATACTAGCTCAACAAATTACCCATCCACGCATCCGTATATCAATAATCTCTTCATTTAGTCAGATTCCTCAACTTTAAGGGAACTCCACACATTAATATCCTTACAACTTTCCGAAATACATTTGAATTTAAATAAATTAAAGGGAAAACTCAAAATTGTCTATCAAATCCTGGAAACTAAAGGTACTTCAAGTAGTAGGTAACGTTAGGATTAAAAAAAAAAGATACAGGACAGGGGCATGCATGCCTGCAGTGCCGGCATCCCATATGGGCACCAGTTCGAGTCCCAGCTTCTCCATTTCTGATCACGCACTCTGCTATGGCCTGGGAACGCAGTAGAAGATGGCCCAAGTCCTTGGGCCCCTGCACCGGCATGGGAGACTAAAGAAGCTCCTGGCTCCTGATTGGCACAGCTCGGGCCGTTGCAGCTAACTGGAGAGTGCACCAGCAGATAGAAGACTTTTCTCTCTCTCTCTGCCTCTCTTCTCTCTCTGTGTAACTCTGACTTTCAAGCAAATAAATAAAAATCTTTTAAAAATTCAGAAAAAAGTTGTTTAGTGAATAAATAGAAAGTAATAGTAAAACAGATTAAAAGTTAGTAACTGGAGTAAAAGTTTTAGACAAAGTTAAAAAAAATGATTCCAGGCTCTATTTACATATATCCATTTGATGCAATTTTTAGAAGTATTCTAATCTAACAAAGCCTATGATATTTGGGGGGCTCTCATGTAACTACTTCTTTGTCATGGTGGAAAATATAAATATATAATTTCCTTTTCTTATTAACTATCCCATTTCTCTGTCCTAACTCTGTTCCTCTGCCACACATTTCTGCCAACTATTATAACTGTTTGTAAAAACAGTCACATTAAAAATGCAGGCAAATAATTTACTTGGTCTTAACTTCTTAATTAGTTGTGAATTATTCACACTTATCTAAATATTTATTTAACCCATGAATATGTTCAATGTTTACAGACTACCATATGAAGTTCACAGTGTACACCTGGTTTCTGACCCAAAATAAAAAATTTCCCACAGATTCTATTATTTAAATCGTTAACTCCTGAAATAAAATTTGTTTTCAATGGTGTCCATCATTTACTGAATAAGTACTGTGAATCAGAAACTGGACTCTATACATCATATGTATTTACAAATTTGAACAAGATGAGATTTAGAGAAGCTAATTAACTTAAATAAGGGCATACAATTGTGAAAAGGAAAATCTGAACTCATATTAGAGTGACTAAAAACATCAGCTGTTAACCTCGTGACAATTATTTCTATATATCCTCAATCTTTAGTCATTCCTTTTTTCATCAAAAGTTCCTCACATTAGAAGATGCTAAACTCTGAGATGTGGCCTGAGGAATAAAATGGTTTCTCTTTAAAATTTAAATTTTGGAATTCCTATGACTATATAACTATTATAAATATATTTTTAATTATTTATTAATTCCAAAAATTGCAGGATAGACAAAGCAGATATTCTGATGCTACTTTCAGGTACCATGATATAATAACTGGTTAAAAAGTTCTGTGGGTCCTCCGCCTAGCGGCGCCGGCACACCGGGTTCTAGTCCCGGTCGGGGCGCCGGATTCTGTCCCGGTTGCCCCTCTTCCAGGCCAGCCCTCTGCTGTGGCCAGGGAGTGCAGTGGAGGATGGCCCAGGTGCTTGGCCCCGCCCCCCATGGGAGACCAGGAAAAGCACCTGGCTCCTGGCTCCTGCCATCGGATCAGCGCGGTGCGCCGGCCACATCGCGCTGGCCGCGGCGGCCATTGGAGGGTGAACCAACGGCAAAGGAAGACCTTTCTCTCTGTCTCTCTCTCTCTCACTGTCCACTCTGCCTGTCAAAAAAAAAAAAAAAAAAAGTTCTGTGGGGCCGGGGTTGTGGCACAGCAGGTTAAGCTACTACCCCCAGTGCTGCCATCCCACATGCGCAACGGTTGGAGTCCTGGCTGCTCCACTTCCGATCCAGCCCCCTGCTAATGAGCCTGGCAATGCAACAAGATGGCCCACGTCTCTGGGCTCCTGTCACCCACATGGGTGACAGAGAAAAAGTCCTGGCTCCTTGTTTCAGCCTGGCCCAACACTGATCATCACAGCCATTTGGGAGGGAATAATCGGATGGAAGATTTCTCTCTCTCGCTTGCTCTCTCTTCTCGCTCTGTAACTCTTTCAAATAAATAATTTTTTTAAAAAAGAAAGTTCTGTAAGTACTAAATCATACAGAGCCAGACTGAAGAGTTAAGACTTCATTGTAATAGAACAAATAAAAAATGCAGTGGAAAGCCTTAACACCAGAATTGGTGAAGCACAAGAAGGAATATCCGACTTATAAGACAACGCACAGGAAATTATACAGTAAAATAAACAAGAAGAAGAAATTAGAAAACTAAAAATCACTGTTGAGAATCTACAAAATACTATCAAATCACCGAACATACAGGTTCTAGAAGGCATATAAAGAGAGAAAGGATTAGAAGGTCTTTTTAGCGAAACAATGATGGAAACTTCCCTAATCTGGAGAAAGAAAGGGACATCCAAGTACAGGAAGCACATAGAACTCCTACTAGACATGACCAAAAAAGATTTTCACCACAACACATTGTAATCAAACTCTAAGACAGGGAATCAACCTAAATGCCTGTCAACCAAGGACTGAATACAGAAATTATGGGATATGTACACTATGGAATACTACACAGCGGTAAAAAAAAATGGAATCCAGTCATTTGCAACAAAATCTGGAAAACATCATACTTAGTGAAATAAGACAGTCCCAAAGGGACAAATACCATTTGTTCTCCCTGATCTGTGAAAACTAATAGAGCACCTAAAATGAAATCTGTAGAAGTGAAACTGGCACTTCAAGAAGGGGTGACTTTAGCTGCCCTTGTCTTGACTGCTGAGGAACAGTTTCATTTTTTTGTTTTTTCAGTTTTTTTCTTCATATTATTTGTTGAACTCAACATAGAGCTAATCATATGTGTATAAAGTCAATTGAAGATGGAGCTCAGTAAAAAATAAGACTGGAAATAAGAGAGGCAAGAGGAAGTTTGTAACTGTAAAGCTGTATAGTTCTGTATACATTCCTATGGGCTTATTGCTAAGGATACTGTTTAAAAACTTGCCATGGGACCCCAAATCCCATTAAGCTGGGTGGTAAAATGCCATCTTAAATGTTAAAGTGACCATATTAATTGTTAAGGTGAATATATAGATAGGATTAACTGTTGAAATGATCATATAAATAGGATCAAGTGTCTGGTAATAATAATAGAATTATAAAGGAGAGAATGTTCCAACATGGGAAGCAGTCCACACAGCAGACTCATAGAATGACAATCACTTTAAGCAACACTCTGACCTCAGAATCAACCCTTAAGACATCCTGGTCTGGCTGAAAAGCCCAGAAGAGCATTTCAGGCATGGAAAGAAATGACACTGTGGCAAAAAATGTTCTACACGAAGGATCTCTGTGAATGAGATCCCAGTGGAAAGAAGTGGCCATGAAAGAAGGATGTACTTTTTTCTGAAAGGAGGAGAGAATTTCTACATTGCTATGGCCTTGTCTAAATACTGACAGAGTTTGTGGATTCAAAAGGCTTCTATAGCCTAGGCAGTTTATGGCAAGAGCTTCGGGTGATCAGTGATGTCATATGTAAGAGTGATAACTGTTAACAACAGGAGTCACTGTGCACTTACTTCCCATGCAGGACCTCTGTCTTCAATGAGTTGTATTATGACAGTTAACTATAGAAGTTGTTCTCAGAGTTTGTGTGTGTGTATGTGTGTGTGCAAATTGTCAAAATCTTTACTTAGTATAGAGTTGGTCTTCAGTGTATAAGATTAACTGAAAATGAATCTTAATGGAGAATGGGACTGGGAAGGGGAGAGGGAGGAGGAGAGGAATGGGAATCTGGGTGGAAGGGCAAGTATGGTGAGAAGAATCACTATATTCCTTAAGTGGTACTTATGAAATTTGTATTCCTTAAGAAATAAATTTAAAAAATATTTCATTTTAAGTGGGCAATAAGAAACTATTAGACAAAATGTAAAGCATAAGAGTAATAAAATTTATTCTAGATTTTTAAAGATAAGTCTAGGAAGCACAGTTATGGCACAACAGACTCAGACTCTTTCCAATGAGAGAAAATGGAGAAAGAAGGAAACAGCAATGTTTCTTCACAAAATGGATCACAGCAAAGGACTCAGCAGGGAAAAAGAAAAAATTGACAGTTTCTTAAAGAAATAAAAATAATGACTATCCAAGAACTGAGATCTAGGGAGGCAGTATAGCTTAGCAATTAACATCAAAATTTCAAATCCACAAGGCCATTAACTCACTTAACCCTCTTAGTAAATGTCTGATGTTGGGCACATTATTTAATCTAATACTGCTATATTGCTCACGGAATTATCATGAGAATTAAAGATAAAATTCATTAGAGCACCCAGTACTGTGCTTACACCACAATAAGAGTTCCATAAGTATTCAGTAGTGACAGTATTATGCAAATTCTGTATGCATACAAATATTCATTCAATAACACAAGAAAGGACTTAAATAGTAGAGAAAAGGGAGAGGAAAAGATAAATTCAAGTCCTAATATTTGTAAGACATAAGTATGTAATATGTATTTGGAACATCCAGTACTAAACACACAGTGGGTGTTCAACACTTACTAATAAAAATAGCTCATAGAAATTTTTATTTTCATTTTTTAACTTTCTATATTACTTTAAGATTTCTACATGAAAATCAGTCATATTCTATATTCAATCAGCCAATATAAACTGTTTTTCATCCTCAAGAATTAAAAGCAATATACTGAGAGCAACATTTTATCATGCACTTTTTAACACATTAATATACCTGTAAGGGGAAAATATCTAATACTCAATAAAATAATCATCATCATAAAATAACCTACACTTAGAAGGTGAACATTTCATTACATTCAGAACATGGAATTTGTATTCAAGCTGCTGGGTTTGAATTCAGTCATTTACTACCAATATTAACTTGGACAAGTAACTCAAGCTCTCTAGCCTCAGACTCCTCATCAATAAGATGGTAATTCCAAAAGCACACATTGAACAAGCTGTTGGACTTAACGAGTACATGAAGAGCATTTATAGTGCTTACCATGTAATGGGATTATGTTTATTATCATCATTCTGATAACTAACTCCATTTATACAGATAATATTTTCTAATACACTGTTTTCTCGGCCTTCTAGGACTACTAGACTAAATTGTGTCATAAAGAATTTTTATTCTCCATACTTTGGGCCAAGGGGGAAATATATATCAACTAAGAGAGAATTTGAAAGAAGCATCATAACTTACTATATCTCTGAAAACAACCGCCCTAAGTCGATTAATATCCATATCTTGTAGAAGCCTGTCAAGATCTCTTACTGGAGATATTCCACCAGTCACAATGTCCACTGGACTCTATTTAAAGAAAAAATTACATATACATATACATCAATACATTTAAATAATAAACAACATTCTAAGGACTAAGAAAGCAAGGCTGTAACATTCCTTCTTCCAGTTGTTTCCCACGCTTCTTTCTTCTTTTTTAAAGGGAAATGGAGGAGTATAGAAGGGAGTCATGCTTGAAAAATCAACATATTTGAAGAAAACAGTTATCACAGAAACAAGAAAAGTAAACATTTGGAAAAGTAGACAAGATTAAGTATAAACAAATCTTTACTGTATATTTAAGCACAAATATTTGAATGTTATAATCACAGACTAAAATAAGTACTTTAGGTTCTCTGTCAAATTTACTTTATGTTGAAATGAACAAATTAATTCAAGAGCTTAATTATAAAATGTAAGTATACTTTATTTCAGTGAATTATTCTGTACGCTTACCTTTGCTGCAGATTTCCCCACAGGAATCATACTGTGAATTGTTTTCAGGACTTTTGCTGCATCTCCCCTACATTTCAACTGTGAATGCTGTTGACACTCTAAGCAATTCCTTACTGCCACTGCACATACTGTAATTTATTTTAATGAAAAGATTGGGAAAGAAAACAAAATCAAACTTAAGAATATGGAACTGATAAAAATCACCTAAACAATGTTATTTATATAAGATTTCATTTAAAACAGATTACCTTTGACCAATTCCTAAAATGTTTCTAGACTCTGTAACTTTGTGTTTGTTGCCCGATTTTGTTGGCTTCCCCACTGTAGCCCCAGTTATGATCTGGGGAGCCAGTACAGCCCAGTGGTCTACACTCTTAGGATATGCTAAAACAAAATCAGTTTGGAATCCTAACAGTAGGCTACTGTGTCTTAGATCTCACCCAAGTTAACTGGAACAATCTTTTATTAAGAACAAGATAGGGAAGAAAAGAATCAAAAGGACAGTGGAAGAAAAATAGAGCAAAAAAACTATCTAGGATAATATACTTTGGTTACTTTCATTAAAATAAATGATTAAACTGGACATCTTCATGTTTTTCTTATACAGCATAATTACAACATGATATTAATAGTGATGGATAGAAGGTACAGCATTCATAGAAAATTCTGTAAGGTCTACTGTTTACTGACTTTCATTAAACTGCTTAGAAAGTGGGGGTAGCAAAGGGAATCTGATTAATATGCAATCCAAAAATGCCTCTTTAAAGTTCCAGCTACTCAAATTATTTAGAAATTAATATTGAATTTAAATTATACACTATTTCCCTAGCTTCTTAAACAAAGTGATTCTGAATAAAGTGAAGCATTGTACTTTGAATTCTAGAAAGGTATTCTCCCTTTAGGGAAGCAGAAAGGATTTTCAAATGGGATATACAGAAGTGGGTGTTTAGCCTAGCAGTTAAAAAACACCAACATCCCACATCACATTGCCTGGGTTTGATTTGCAGTGCCAGCTCCTGACCCTAACTTCCTGCCAACACAGAACCAGAGAAACAGCAGTGATGGCTCAAGTAGTTGTGTCCACAGGAGAGACACAGATTGCATTCCTTATTCCTGGCTCCTGGCTCCCAGCTTCTGGCTCCTGCCCCTGAGGAGCCCTGGCCATGAAGTATATGGAAGTACTTTTTTCTCTCTAGCTCTCACTCCCACTCTCCTCCTCACTCCACCTCCCCCACCCCCAACCCCACTCCTCAGGCTCACTCTCACTCTTAATGAAGTCTGTCTCTCTCTGTCAAATAACTTTTTAATGACATATGCAAAAGCAATAAAGTCTACTTAATGTAGTTATATTACTAATGGAAAGTCTAAGAAATATACTATAGGGGCCAGTGCTGTGGCACAGTGGGTAAAGCTGCTGCCTGCAGTGCCAGCATCCCATATGGGTGCCAGTTAGAGTCCCAGCTGCTCCACTTCCAATCCAGCTCTGCTGTGGCCTGAGAAAGCAGTGGAAGATGGCCCAAGTCCTTGGGCCCCTACATCCGCGTGGGAGACCCGGAAGAAGCTCCTGACTCCTGGCTTTGGATCAGTCCAGCTCAGCTGTTGTGGTCATTTGGGGAGTAAACCAGCAGATGGAAGATCTGTCTCTCTGTCTGTCTGTCTGTCTCTCTCTCTCTCTCTGCCTCTGCCTCTCCCTTAACTCTGCCTTTTAAAATAAATAAATAATTATTTTAATCAAAATTTTATTCAATTTCATTTACTAAAAATTTTTATTCAGTGTGAAAATCAATGACAAATTACAACAGACAATAAATGATAGCTTCTATTTTGTTATGCTCACTAACTTAAAGCTTTAAACTTTTAAAACAACTATCTACAAATGCTTATACCAAGTTCCTTAGCATATCCTAAGTCTGAAAGTACTCTGAATGACATTTTGAGTAAAACTAAGTGTACAAAAAATATAAAAACTGGTAATAGTTTATGTAACCAATATTTTTGTTAAATTGAATTTTAAATATGAAAAATATTTCATTAAGTAACTAGGTTTTCTATTTTCAATGTTATACGAGGGGGTTTCAAAAAGTTTGTGGAACATAGAATTAAAAGAACATGGGAGGTACAGCACTGTGGTGTAGTAAGCTAAGCTTCCACCTGTGGCACAGGCATCCCATATGGGTGCTGATTCGTGTTCTACTGCTCCTCTTCTGATTGAGCTCTTTACTCGTGGCCTGGGAAAGCAGTAGAAGGCGGCCCAACTGTCTGGGCCCTGCACCTGCGTGGGAGACCCAGATGAAGCTCCTGGCTCCTGACTTCGGATCAGCTCAGCTTTGGCTGTTGCAGCCATTTGGGGAATAAACCAAGAGATGGAAGACTTTTCCCTCTGTCTCTTTCTGTAATTCTACCTCTCAAATAAATAAAAAATAAAAATATATAACATGAAGGTGGGGGTTTGGCTCAGAATCCCATATTGGAGTACCAGGGTTCAAATCCTGGCTTCTTGCTAGTGCATATCCTGGAAAGTAGATGATGACTCAAATGAGGGGGTCTCTGACAGTAATGTGGGAGACCTGGATTGAGTTCATGTCTCTTGGGCATTTGGGGAGTGAAACAATAGATAGGAACTCTGTCTCTCAAATAATTTTAAAGTTTTTTTAATAAAAAATATACAGAATAAATTTCCAAGAAATCTGTAAAGTCCCCCAGTTTTTTCATAGGTATCTTATTGTCCAAATGTCTTCACGAGGCCACATTTCCTAAAGGTTTGCTTCTATTTCTTTTTTATTTTTTAAAAATATTTTATTTATTTATTTAAGAGGTAGAGTTACAGACAGTGAGAGGGAGAGACAGAGCGAAAGGTCTTCTGTCCATTGGTTTACTCCCCAAATGGCCGCAACGGCCAGAGCTGCACCAATCCAAAGCCAGGAGCCAGGAGCTTCTTCCAGGTCTCCCACGTGGGTGCAAGGGCCCAAGGACTTGGGCCATCTTCTACTGCTTTCCCAGGCGACAGCAGAGAGCTAGATTGGAAGAGGAGTAGCCAGGACTAGAACCGGCGTCCAGCCAGTACCACAGGTGGAGGATTAACCAAGTGAGCCACAGCACCGGCCCCTTTTTTATTTTATTTTTTAAAATATTTTATTTATTTATTTGAGAGGTAGAGTTACAGACAGTGAGAGTAAGAAAGAGAAAAAGGTCTTCCATCCACTAGTTCACTCTTCAAATGGCCGCAATGGCCGAAGCTGAGCTGATCCGAAGGCAGGAACCAGGAGCTTCTTCCAGGTCTCTCACATGGGTGCAGGAGCCCAAGGACTTGGGCCATCTTCTACTGCTTTCCCAAGCCATAGCAGGACTAGAACCGGTGCCCATGTAGAATGCCAGAGCCTCAGGCAGAGTATTAACCTACTGTGCCACTGCACCGGCCTGCTTCTATTTCTTAGCACCTCCATTCCCAACTGTTATTCTCTTCATTAAGCAAACAGTTTAACAAAGTCTCAATATTTTCAACTAAATACAGAAAATGTCGTGCAAAACAAGAATTATTTTTAGTTCACCTATGGAAGTCAAATTAGATGAAAAAAGTCACATTGCATAATTTTGCTTTTATCTATGAAAGAATTGCTTTATCAGAGGAACAGAAATTTAATGATTTTATTAACTGCTTCAACAAACTATCCTGTCTTAACTGAATAAAGGCTGATCTTGAATAATGCTAATTCAGAACCATGTTACTCAACATTTTTTTTAAAGGTTTATTTATTCATCTGAAAGTCAAAATTACACAGAGAGATATTCCATCTGCTGGTTCACTCCCCAATTGGCCACAACTGCCAGAGCTGCACCAATCTGAAGTCAGGAGCCAGGAGCCAGGAGCTTCCTCCAGGTCTCCCACATAGGTACAGGGGCCCAAGGACTTGGGCCATCTTCCACTGCTTCCCCAGGCCACAGCAGAGACCTGGATCAGAAGTGGAGAAGGGACTCAAACCATTGTCCATATGGGATACTGGCACTGCAGGCAGCAGCTTTATCCTCTATGCCACATTGCCAGCCCCTCAACAGTGTTTTTAAAGATTTTATTTACTTATTTGAGAGGTAGAGTTACAGCCAATAAGAGGAAGAAACATAGAGAAAGCTCTTCTGCACATTCATTCACTCCCCAAATGGCCCCAATGGCATGAGCTGCATAGATCTGAAGCCAGAAGCCAGATACTTCTTCCTGGTCTCCTACGCGGATGCAGGGGCCCAAGGACTTGGGCCATCTTCCACTGCTTTCTCAGGCCACAGTAGAGAGCTGGATTGGAAGAGGAACAGCCAGGACTAAAACCAGCACCCATATGGGATGCCAATGCCATAGGCGGAGGATTGGAGGATTAACCTACTACACCACAGCACTGGCCCCAAAAATGTTACTAATGAAGCACCAACATCACACGGGACTTGGTAGACAACTTTTGGCCTATTTTTTGTTTGTTTGTTTGTTTTTTAACAGGCAGAGTGGACAGTGAGAGAGAGAGACAGAGAGAAAAGTCTTCATTTTGAAGTTGGTTCACCCTCCAATGGCCGCCGTGGCCGGCGTGCTGCAGCTGGCACATCACACCTATCTGAAGGCAGGAGCCAGGTGCTTCTCCTGGTCTCTCATGGGGTGCAGGGCCCAAGCACTTGGGCCATCCTCCACTGCACTCCCGGGCCACAGCAGAGAGCTGGCCTGGAAGAGGGGCAACCAGGACAGAATCCGGTGCCCCGACCAGGACTAGAACCCGGTGTGCCGGCGCCACAAGGTGGAGGATTAGCCTAGTGAGCCGCAGTGCCGGCCTTGGCCTATATATTCTAATCGTCATTTTAACAAGATTCTCAGGTGATTTTTATTTGTGAATCACCTTAAAATTTAAGAAGTATTACTTAAGAGTAAAACTCAGCTTAGATACTCTGACCTCAGAATCAGCCCGTAAGGCATTCTGGCCTGGCTGAAAAGCCCACAAGAGCATTTCAGGCATGGAAAGAAAAGACAATGAGACAAAAATTGTCCTACATGAAAGATCTCGGTGGGTGAGACCCCAGTGGAAAGAATGGTTATCAAAGAAGGAGGTACTTTTCTCTGAAGAGAGAATTTCCACTTTGCTTATGGCCTTGTCAAAATACTGATGGAGTTTTTGGATTCAAAAGGCTTCCATAGCCTAGGCAGCTCATATCAAGAGCTTTGGGTGATCACTGACGTCATACATATTGTTAAATTAACAGTAAGAGTCACTGTGCAGTAACTTCCCGTGCAGGACCTCTGTACTCAAAGAGCTGTATCATAACTATGTGTATGTGCTCCCAAAAGATATATCATTCTTGGGTAGAAGAAGAGAGAAAGAGAGGAAGAGAGAGAGAAAGAGAGAGAGAAAGAGAGAGAGAAAGAGAGAGAGAAAGAAAGAGGAAGGAAGGAAGGAAGGAAGGAAGGAAGGAAGGAAGGAAGGAAGGAAGGAAGGAAGGAAGGAAGGAAGGAAGGAAGGAGAAAGAAAGAAAGAAAGAAAGAAAGAAAGAAAGAAAGAAAGAAAGAAAGAAAGAAAGAAAGAAAGAAAGAAAGAAAGAAAGAAAGAGAGAGAGAAAGAAAGAGAGAAAGAAAGAGAGAGAAAGAGAGAGAGAAAGAAAGAGAGAGAAAGAGAGAGAAAGAGAGAGAAAGAGAGAGAAAGAGAGAGAAAGAGGAAGGAAGGAAGGAAGGAAGGAAGGAAGGAAGGAAGGAAGGAAGGAAGGAAGGAAGGAAGGAGAGAGAGAGAGAAAGAAAGAAAGAAAGAAAGAGAAAGAGAGAGAGAGAAGGAAGGAAGGAAGGATGGAAGGAAGGAAGGAAGGAAGGAAGGAAGGAAGGAAGGAAGGAAGGAAGGAGAGAAAGAAAGAAAGAAAGAGAGAAAGAGAGAGAAAGAAAAAGAAAAAAGAAGTGAAGTAAATTTACTTCAAGATGCAATGATTTTGAACAGCCCTTGTCTCGACTGTTGAGAAACAGTTTTGGTTTGGTTTGGTTTGGTTTGGTTTTTGGTTTATTTTACAGTGCAAACTGTTGAACTCTTTCCTTAGCATACAGTTGGTCTTTTGTGTATAAAGTTAATCAAAAATAGATCTTGGTGGAGAATGGGACTGGGAATGGGAGAGGGAGGAGGAGGAAGGATGGGAGAGTGGTTGGGAGGGCAGGTATGGTAGGAGAATCACTATATTCCTAAAGTTGTACTTATGAAATGCATGAATCTGTATTCCTCAAGTGAAAGGTTTCTTGGGGGGAAAATAATTTTAAAAATAAATTTTAAAAAAACTAGCCTTAGGAACTTAGGGGAAAGGAGGAATGCTGATATAATAAATAGTAGATTGTGTGAATATATCTTTCTCTTTCACTATCCAATTTGGCAATTACTGTGCATAGTACATTAAAAACTAATCACAGGCAGGCATTTTGCCTAGTGGTTAAGACACCAGTTAGAACACACACATCCTTCTTAGGAGTGCATGGAATCAAGTCCCAGCTCCAGCTCTCAATCAACTTCCTGCTTAGGCAGATCCTAGTAGCTGGTAGGTGATGGCTCAAGTAATTCAGTTCCTGCCAATCATGTAGAAGATGCAGACTGAGTTCCTGGCTCCAGGCCCTTGGGGACTGAGTGAACCACTGATGGCTCTCTCTCTTCATCTCTGTGTCTCTCTTTCATAAAACACTGACACAAACAACAACACAAAAACCTACCCATAAAAGAAACTGGCTAGCACACATTTTCTCACCAACAAAAGAAATACTTTTCATGTTAATGTCTGGATTACTGGGAAAAAAATTTAAAGTAAATCCCTAACTTTAGGGTTTTAATAGCTCACCCAGTCGGAGACACTGCCGCAAAATTCCTCCAGATGACATGTTTTTTTCAGCTTCAATTTCAGTAAAGCCAAGAGAACTTGCAAATATAAGCACATCCACAAGGCTAATGAGCCTCTGCAAAAATGTCACAGAGGCTTCTATTGAAAGGCCTTGAGTAGGCTCAATATTCTCCAGCTCATGCTGTAAGGAATAAAGTTTGACATTTACATCTATATTCTGATGAAAATCTAATTTTACCAGATATAGTTCCCAGATTTCTTAAATTTTATAGGAAGTCAGGCTTTCAGAAAACTAGTACAACAGTGATTTACTTAACATTTCATTTTTTTTAAAAGGGGTCAATGGAAACATACAGGTAAAACACTGTCAATCATATTCTTCACTAGCTGACTCATCTCCAAGAAAACATTCTTTTTAGTTATTTCATTCCTGGAAAAGATTCTAAAATCCTTTAACATAATTATAAAGGGTCCTGATGCTTTTGATTTACAGCATTTATGATACCTAGTAATGTGTATATTCAGGTTTTAATCAATAAGGATGCATAACACTCATGTTTTCACACCAATTTTATAGAGTAGGTAAGTCCTTACTGTAGCCGATGTAGCAGCTGAAAGCAATGGCAGTATACCCCCACAAGCCATGACCATATTGTCCATCACTTGAGAGATGAGATGAATTGTGTTGTGTACAAAGATGACATTATCACTGCTATTCACGAAGTCCATAACTGTCTTTGTTGAATGGCTGTCCAAAGATAAATGATGTTTACTGATAAAGCTAAAGAAAGGAAATCACAATTTGCCTACTTGAGGGGAGGAAGGATAAGAAGGTGCTTTTGCTTCATCTTGAAAACCGAGGGAAGATAGTGGTGCAACGGGTATTTGGGGGCGTAAACATCCTCAGAAGAAGTGGACCATTTCATATCAGCAGTGACTATCCATGCCCTCCTCCAGAGCTGAAACATAAATACTATTCATCTTACACTGGATATGAAAAGCAGAACAATATCCTACTTAGCTGGGAATACAACTGAGAAGTCATATGGCAAAACTTCAAAAGTAAATGGTATTAAATGTGCTATTAAAATGAATTTTCTATGAACATTTTCTTAAGTAATGCCATAAAATGCTTCTAAATAAAATAAGAGTTGTTTACAAACAAAAAACAGACTAGGCACTTTTAAAATCACAGGTCACATAAGGAAGGGATAATCTGAAATATACAGATATTTTATGTTAAAATACAACGACAATATAGATAATGTTATATTCAAATCTCTATTAATTTTTAGTGTTGCTACGAATAAACCAAACTTGGCAGACAGATCTACTTTCTTGTAAATTCCATGCTATAAAATATGCTACAGGAAACCTTCTGCAGATTTTTTGAAAGAAAAGGCTTGGATTCTCATTTTTCTAACACAGAGATACCATTCTTATGATGGAGAATAAAAATTAATTCAATAAACCCTACCATAGAATAATTTATATTCCAGTTTTTAAAGCAAATGCCTGAATTTAATTGAAAACAAAGACTAAAGTTTATATGCATATTCTATAACAAACATATGGACAAACCTCCTCCACATCTGAATATCTGTTTCTATCGAAAATAACAGATCAGTGAGCAAACGCTGATGCATCTGAGACCACTTGAACTCAGGAACACGAAACATGGTAGATCTTGAATCCCTCCTTTGTCCATTGACTGCCTCTGGTACTGGTCCTCGAACTGGCTGCTCCTGTTGCCTTGGTACCTAATACAGAAAATTTGAAGTGATAAAATAAGTTAAACGTCAAAGTAAGGCACTAGAAAAATAAAAAATTTAATAGCTTCTATACAATTCATCTAACAGATAACTTACATGTTAGGACACTAAAGAACCAAACCAGTGAAAGACAAATTATCAATAAGTAATAACTTTTTACTATGTTGAAATAAATTTTTACTAATTGAAAGCAATGTTACCAAAAATGCTATACTGTAATAATTCAACAATAATGCATTTGGAGCTATGTAAATGTTACTAAGCAGGTCTTGGCTTTGAATCTTAACATAACATAGGCAGTATTTGTAATCCAGGAAGTATCTGGATCATAAATTGGCTAAAATGAAGTACAAACAAAAATTAAGACAGTTCCAAAAACACCAATTAAAACATGAGAGAAAAAGAAGGGAGGGAGAATAAGAACTGAGTAAAAAGTGGGAAATGACAACATGCAACCAACCATTGTTCATGAATCAGCATTTACTTTATAAACTGAAATTATGCCAACCTTGAAACTTGAAATTGTTAACTTTTGGTGATGCCTTGGTAAAAATAATAGTGTAAGTAAAACCTGCTATTTAATGAACTCACACTAACTGCTAAATGTTATACTGACAATTTCAAACAACCTTCACATGCATTATATTTACATAACTGCAAATAGGATATGAACCAAATACAAAATAAAATAAAATGCAAGTATATATACTTGCTCTGTCTGAACTCAGATCAAACACACTTCAAGAAGACAATATAGGGGCCGAGGCTGTAGTGCACCAGTTAAGTCTGCCACCTGCAGTGTCGGCATCCCATATGGGCACTGGTTTGAATCCTGACTGCTTCACTTCCAATCCAGCTCTCTGCTACGGCCTGGGAAAGGAGTAGAAGATGGCCCAAGTCCTTGGGCCCTTGTACCCATATGGGAGATATGGAAGAAACTCCTGGCTCCTAGCTTTGGATCGAACCAGCTCCCGCTGTTGTGGCCACTGGGGAGTGAACCAGCAGATGGATGGATCTCCCTCTCTCTCTGCCTCTGCCTCTCTGTAACTCTGACTTTCAAATAAATAAATAAATAAATCTTAAAAAAAAAAAAAAAAAGAAGATAATATGTTTACTCGCCTCAAGCATTTGTCGATGAGGCTGAACTGCTTCCATGCTTGTATTAGCCTTCAATTCCAGTCTCTCGGTATCTGAAGCAACACTGGAAACATCTAACTTGGCAATCTTCTGCTCAGAAGTAACAGAAGCTTCAAAAACATTACCATGACTATCAGTGTCTAAGTTGGTTTCTCCAGCAGAGTCGGCTGTTTTCTTTCCTTCCTCCAACATCTGATCCATGCCTGACTGCACAGCTGTTTGGGAAACAGTAGTTTCTAGAGAAGTAGCTGAAGACTCTGAAGCTGTTACATGCAGGGATCCAGGATCTTCAGAATCTTGAGCTTCAGTACCAGTTGGTTTTTCCGTAACAGGGTCTTCCTCTTGGAATATTAATTTGCAGTCAGTACTAGCTTCATGCAGTCTTTCACTGCCTTCGGATGCAGCTGGAGACAAACTATTATCTTGGCCCTCTGTGGGCAGGCTGGTTTCCTCAGTAGGACTGCTTTCCACCTTCAGTTCCACATAATCATCGTCCTCCTCTTCTACCAGAGACTTATCCAATAATTCTGGCATCTCTGTAGCATCCCCTTCTGAAGGAGAGCTTACAGATGCCGTTCCTTCACTGATGGTCACTGTATCTTTGCCAGCTGTTTCAAAAGTACTAGAGGAAACAGTTATAGGTTCTCTTAGGTCAGAAGATGCTTCTAAAACACCTGCATTCAGTTCCTCATTTGTCAGTGTTTCTTCCAAAGTGACTTCATCCAGTAACTCCCGATTTTCCTGCTCAGTTTTCCTTTCTTCAATAGAGGTACTATGAGTCTGCAGTTCGACGTTAGATGTCGTTTCTACTGAACTAGTGTTTTCATTACTTGAGTTTTCACCACTGTTTCTGGTAAAATGGGGATAGATGGGGGAATCCTTCTTGTCTGATTGCTGAGACCCCGCTGAAGCAGGAACATCCCTGCTAATTCCAGAGATTGCTGGAACGGGACCTGAAGAGCTTAGCCCTATTTCCTCATCAACCTTTCCCTGCTGTCCCCTAAACATGCTGGCAAGGTTCTCTTTGTGTATTTCAAAAGTGACCTGGATGAAACAAAAAAATAAAAAACAGCCAGTAGTTAATACATGCATTCACATTATTCCAGCATTCAAAATATAAAGTTTTCAACAATTTTTCAAATAGTTTATATAATATGAAAACTTTTAATTTTTCTATAATATGCTTACTTCAGTAAAGCAATAAATAAAATGAAACTGAATCAAATAATGTAAATATTCAGAAAAAGTAAAGCCAATTTTAAGGCTAACAGGTAGCACAGTATGAAACTGAAACAAAAACATTAATTATTTAGTCTGTTCTTAAAGACACATAGGAAGAGTACACCATTCTTCCCTCTTCAACTTGTACTAGGATCTAAATATACCATATGCACTGAATAATGCAGTGTTACAACTGCAATGAAAGTTCACTTCCCCATGATTTGCCCTCAGGAAAGATTTTTTTTATCAAATGATTATGTTACTATAGGAGCTTTCCATGTTATCCATTAAGCTACAAAACCCATTCCTCATGTACCTAAATGCTTTTAGCAATGAGAAAACACACAAACCTTCCCCAAAGGTCAACCATTATTTTGAAAGTTTGAACTGATCACAAATAGTCTGAAAGTTCCAGTTTATCCACCCATGTATCCAATCATTCCAACACAAGGCTGATTACTACGTATGAGGGAACTTTGCGTTCAGGGGATCATAGCATTAAAAGATGTTTATTTTCATGCAAAAAATTATGAAATCCATGCATAATTTTTTAAATATTCTTTTTCTGTGAACTTTTTGAAAACTGCTTGTATACATGAATTTCACATTTTTTCACACTGAAATAAACTTACCTTTTCAAAATGCCCTCATGTTCAGCACTTTGAATGTTCTCATATTATGCTTCCTTTATTAAAAGTAAATGATAAAAAACTATTCTGTGATTGCCAATGTCACAGGATTTTTATCACTTTTCCCTTCAACTCTTCAATGATTATTATCCTCAAGCACCATTATGTGATTGCTACTGGTGTTTCAAAGGGAACCCCCAAATCACAAAACCCTCAGAAGAAAATAACAGGAAAAGTACAACACATCCAGAAAGTACAAGCATAATCATAGTTTATTAATACAAAAATTATTTTTTTCCTGTACCATACATTATAACATATAGTAAATTGAGTAGTCAATAAATCTTTATTGAGCCCAGTATGAGAGAATGGTAGGAGATAACAAGGTAAGAAGAGCTGATTTTTTTGTGCACAAAAATCCATTGGCCTATTCAAATCACAAGAAGTATGTACACAAGTAAAAAGTATAAACAATGCATGCTACAAAAATTTCCTTCTATAAGTATTAACTATTACTCATGTCATAAACAGAATATTCAGGCCATATGTGACACAGCTAAAAACTTTAAAATATGTTTAGGAAATAAACATTTTCCTAACTGGAAATATTTTTCTTGGGGTAGCCATGTGATGGCTGGTAAGATGTTGCTGGTAATGCCCATATCCCATATCAGAATGCCTGGGTTTGAGTCCCAGCTCTACTTCCAATTCCAGTTTCCTGCTAATGTGCACCCTGGGAGGCAGCAGATGATGGCTCAAGAACTGGAGTCCCTGCCACCTACAGGAGAGACCCAGACTGAATTCTGAACTTCTGGCTTCAGCCTAGCACAGGCCGGGTTGTGGCAGGCATGTAGGGGAAGTGAAGCAGTAGATGGGAGATCTGTCTCTCTGCCTTTCAAATACATTAAATACATAAATAATTTTAAAAAACATTTTCCCAATTACAAATATTTTCTTATTTGTAACTATTTAAGAAACTTTTTTAGTAATTCAAAAAGAAAAACAAACACTCCAAACTGAATAGTAAAATAACACTGTAACATTAACAAAAGAACTATTTTATATTTATAATGCCAATATTTTCTTTGAAATGAGTTCTTTTAACTGAAACCCTCATATTCATTCAAGGAAAAAATATCTACTGAACATCTATCTATAGCAAGCACTCACTGTATGATGAACAATATAATGTTCCTGATTCCATGGAGCTTATATTCTAATGCAGGCATTAGAAAATAAGGATAAAAATACAGAAACCAATGTCAAGTGGTAAAAAGAACTTTGAAGGAGCAAAAAAGACAAAATAGCAAGTCTAGGAGAGAGGGTGTGTTTCACTAGGTAAGATATATGAGTAAAGACGGGAACAAGCAGTCTTAAAAGGAAAATTGTTTCATGCAGAGAGATGGACAAAGGCAAAGGCTCTGCGGCCAAAAAAGGTAGGTATGTTTGAGGAATAACAATAAGCCAGTAGACTCAGAACTGTCAAAGCTTGGAACATAGCCGGTGGCTACAGTGTGACTGTGGATCATGGCAGGATGGGTGAAGGACTCCGAATTGTATTCTCAGGAAGAAGCCATTTGAGAGTTATAGTTAGGGGTAAGATTTCCCTTTTAGGAGATAGTTTCCACACTGATACAATAGTTATTACCTAAGAAGGGCAAGTTACATACCACCAACCTCATTAGAATTTTGAAAATACACCATTATTTCTTCAACAGCCCATGTTGTAGAATAAGCTCAGTTTTCACCATCAATTGCCTCAATCTTATTCAAATTTTTTTAGAATTTTTATTATACCAATAAACATATATATACAATTATTATATGTACAGATTAAACAGCATTAATCTTTTTAACCCCATGTACCTACCACGCATGTCAAGAAACAGAACACTACTCACACTCACAATTCCCCTGTGTGACCCTCCTAAATATTAATCTCTAACCTACCCACCTCCATCAGGAGGGATCACTCCTGAGGTGAAGAAAAGACAACACAGCCTGGGGCCCGCGCTGTGGTGTAGCGGGTAAAACCACTGCCTGCAGTGCCAGCATCCCATATGGGCACCAGTTCAAGACCCCACTGCTCCACTTCCAATCCAGTTCTCTGCTATGGCCTGGGAAAGCAGTAAAAGATGGCCCAAGCACTTGGACCCCTGCACCCTGCATGGGAGATGTAGAAGAAGCTCCTGGCTCCTGGCTTTGGATTGGCTCAGCTCTGGCCTTCACAGCCATTTGGGGAGTGAACCAGCGGATGGAAGACCTTTCTCTCTGTCTCTCCCTCTCTCTGTCTGTAACTTTATCTTTCAAAATAAGTAAATAAAATCTTAAAAAAAAAAAATAAGAACAAAACTAAGTGAAGGAAGACAACATTGCCACAGAAACTAAAGGCCGCCAAGAGAAGACAAGACACAGAATCAATGAGTGGCAATGGGGCTTCAGCTTCTCAAAGAGGATCTCCAAGGCTACTTCTGGGAAGTCCCTAGGCAAGGTCATTAGGAAATACTGGAAAACACAGTAAGGAGTACTAGAGCACCTCTCAGAGTCAGTGTGACCCAGGAAGTGGCTATCTGGCACAAACAAGTTCTGGGAAGTGAACTCCCTTATACTTTTCCATTCAAAGCTCAACATGGGTGACTTCTACTCTCAGAAACAGATCAAACAAGAGTATATTTCTGACGTGAATCAGGCAGGATTAGAAGGAAGAGCAGGAACTTAATCAGTACATGTTAAAGATGAGCAAAGTATCCACAAGAATATGGGACTCTCTCCTAAGGGCAGTTTGTCCCCAGATTTTAAAAAAAAAAAAAAGTTATAAAGGTTTTTGGCATTTCAGTAATGATACCCAACCCTTCACCTGTCTCTTGAGTCAAACTGCTACAATCCAGATGCACTACCAACTATCTGACTATAGTGCCGCCATCTTAGGCTCCCTTCATTGCAGGCCTGGGTATTTAATACCTCCAGCTCTCTTCTACACTGGTTCTCCAATTTCTTATATTCCATATCCTTCTGCTGGTTTCATTCTCTCCTTCTGGGCAGTACAATCTCTAGTGCCTTTGAGAAAGTGTGCCTATAAAATAATCTTTTGTAACCTCAAATATCTGAAAATATATTTATTCTACCTTACATTGATTAATTGATCAAGTACAAAATTATATTTTAGAAAACATGTATCTTCAGAATTTGAAAGGCTTTTAAAATTATGAAGTCGCTTGGTTTTTAAATTTCTCTTTAATTTACCCCAATTGTCTAAAACCTAAATGGCAATTGAACAATTATCACTGTTGTTATCTTTTTTGATGCTGTTTTCCTTAATGTGTTTGTGGCTTTAAAACTGATAATTCCCAATTAATTACCAGATATTGTTCTAAATTACACAGCTAAAAGACTAGTCATTAATCTTCACATTCATTTGATAGCTAATCTATAGCTGTTTGTAATGTTTGGAAAGCAATTCTATACAATACTAGTTAAAGATACAAGCTAATAACTACAACACTTCTTTTGCCATTACCTTCAATATAATTTGCACTCAAATTTACAAATTAGGAGATAAAAAATGGACACATAGGAGATTATCTCTTTAGTCCATATATTCAAAATTATTTAACCTATAAAAATCTAAACTTTTTAAAATCTTAGGCAATGTTTAGCAAGAGACCGTTTTTAGGCAGATTCACCCTTTTCATCATATGTTATTTTTGTATGGAAATGTTAGATTAAAACTGCTATGCTACCTTCTAATTCCTAGATTACCAACCTTTTCCACAGTTGATAAGTAAGACACACCTTCACAAGCAGCTACATCTTCCTATGTGAAGCAGCAGTGAGTTCAAAGGGATCCCCACCATACACAAGGTCTTTTACAGATGCTATGATGAGACATCTTACAACAAGAATGGTTATATGGTAACAGGTATAACAGTCAAATCTTGATAGTCTGGTCAGACAGTGTTACTCTAATGGAGCATGAAAGTATACAAGTCCCCTCCAATCACTGGTTCTTGCCTGCAGAAACCTTCCTACAGTCAGGCAATTAATTAGTTGCTGATTTCTTATGTATCCTTCCAGTGTATTTTTTTTTTTTTTTGCATATGCCATAAGTACAAATTCTTATTTTGGGTACTTACTCTGTTTATATAATCACACTGCCCCTCACTTTCTTTTTTCACCTAATATATCTTGTTGAAT